CCTTGGGAGGGGAACAACAGCTGGAAACGGCTGCTAATACCCCGTAGGCTGAGGAGCAGAAGGAGGAATCCGCCCGGTGAGGGGCTTGCGTCTGATTAGCTAGTTGGTGAGGCAATAGCTTACCAAGGTGATGATCAGCCACACTGGGACTGAGATGCGGGCCAAACTCCCACGGGAGGTAGTAGTGGGGATCTCTCTATTGACATCTTAGAGAGTCCATTCCTTGCAAGCAACATAAGCCCATGCCCCGCTTCCTTACTCTTCGGGCAAGCAACTTTTTTTTTTTTGCCCTCTCTCCTGTCGTAGAGTACCCTATGATTTAAAATAGAACAGAGATAAAGGATCCCAGCACAAGGAAACACCTTTTTAGTTGTCTTAATAACTGGATCAGATTGAAGAATCCGATTTTAAACGAGGCAAACAAAAAAGGAGGAAAAACCACTTAATAAATGAAATTGCTAAAGGAAAAAGGATTTTCCTTGAACTGTTTGATAGTTATCCAATTTGGGTTTCTTTCTATATAGTGTAAATATATGACACCTGACCTAACTCAATCCCAAAAGCTAGCTCATGAGGGAAGGTTTGTCCAAGTTCATATAAGGAGACCAATTTCTCATCCCTGTACCGATGTAGGACTTCTTAACACTCCCCGCACACCCAGACCTTAACTAGAGCGTGAACACTTATAAATGGGGGCCCAACATCGATGAACAACAAATTAAGATAGGCTTGGCTCTAATACCATGTAAAAATATGACACCTGGGCCTAACTCAACCCCCAAAACTAGCTCATGAGGGGAAGTTTGTCCAAGTCCATATAAGGAGACCAATTTCCCATCCCTCTACCGATGTGGGACTTCTTAACATACAGAATAGAAAACTATTGATACGTCTGATGGAAATGAAATCTGTCAATAGTAACATAGTCACACTACATCAATTAAAACAAAAAAATAAATCAAAATAAATGAAAGTCAAGTACTCTTCTTCACATTCTACATTACATACACTTTTTTTCCGAGAATGATGGGAATCCCACTCATAATACTTTCATTAAGTTTCTAGATATGTAAATTTTATTGGAATAAATTGAAGATTCTATATCCAAATTTATACTGAACATTAATTAGTTTGATCCTCGTACTCCGAATAAAGCCACATAAATAAAATCACGGGGAGTAATTTTTTTTAAAAAAAATAGCTATGGAACCTACTATAAATAAAGAAAAAAGGGGAGGGGGGGGGGGGGGTTTGGGGGCCATAAAACTTTTGGCC